CAACAAATAAAAAAGTTTTTTTTCAATGCCACCTCTCCCCTTAAGGGGGGACGCGGCCTTTGAAAACCGAAAAATCGCGAAAAAGTAGATTTTTGGCAAACCACATATTCGGGCAGTATGTGTCATAAACTACCTTTTCTGTAAATATCAACGTCTAATTCGTCGCGAAACCATTTGAAATAAAGTTTAGAACATGCCGCGGCGGCCCTCGAGCGGCGCGCGAGCGCTCAAAATACCCCAACTTGGCGTGATCGCAGATTCTCGACCGCTCGACGGAGCGCCGCCATTTTGGTGTTGTTTTGTTTGTGAATTCTTGCTCTTTCTTTCCCCGCCACCTGCGTCGCCGGCGGCAGCGCAGGAGAGGAGCAAGCCGCTCATGATTGGAGGGCTCGCGAGAGCTTTCAAGTTTCCCGCAGCTGAGGCGCGCAGCTGGGATTGGGCGAAGCGCGCGCTCCCCAAGGACGCGGGGGAGCCCGCGACTGCCATTGGCTGCTGCGTGCGATGACGTAGCGCTCTTGCGCATAATGCGGCCGATGCGGCAGCTCGTCTGCTGCTCCTCCGTCCGGCGTCTTTGTGTTCCGCTCGCTTCCGTGTATCGTTGCAGCCGTTCGCATACTCTCCACGTTTCAACTGTCTTCGAAACGATTTTCAACCGTCTTTACGAGACGATTTTCAACCGTCTATACGAGACGATTTTCAACCGTCTATACGAGACGATTTTCAACCGTCTATACGAGACGTTTTTCAACCGTCTATACGAGACGATTTTCAACCGTCTATACGAGACCGTTGTTGTGTTCGCTCACGATGCGCCCAACGAAAAAGAAGACGCTACAATCGTTCGGTGCAAGGAAGCGAGCTATGAAGCTTGTCCGCGCGGTGAGGCTCTCCGCTCGCACGTGCGCCGACGGTACCTGTGGGGCAGCTTCTGCTTCATCTACGCAAGAGAGTGGTCGCATCGACGCGCCTAGCAACGGGACTCCTGCTCCGCCGGTGCAAGAATTTGTCGTTACAAGTGCGCCTGGTGTCTCGTGCTCATCGACAGTGGCTTCCGCATCTTCTCTTTTATCGGCCTCGAGTGCGATCGCGTCGTCAACTGTGCATTTGCGAACAAGTTTCCTGACGTGCGAGGAGAAAGAGGCGGCGGATCAACAACGCGCTGCTGTGCAAAGAGAACTTGGCGCTATGCCAGCGACGGAGCGGAAATTTCAGGCAATGGAGCGCGATCATGAAGCTGCCACCGCTACAAGTGAAGGCGAAAAATTTTTCCTTGTGCAAATGGATGCCCTAGACGACCTGCTATCTCGGACCCCGTGCCACCGGTGCACCGCGATTGGGATGAAGGTACGAGGAGGCACCCAACTTGGACTTGCTGCAAAGCTTGAGCTAGTATGCTTGCATTGTGGAGTAGTTTCAAGCTCATGGAGTTCATCTCGTCAGGATGACACAAAGGCCTTTGATGTGAATGTAAGAGCCATTATGGCAACAAAACAAATAGGCAAGGGACAAACAGCTCTCAACGACTTTTGGGCAGCGATGAACGTGTCCCATCGTGGCCTCCATCACAAGACCTTTCAGAAGCACCTGAAGAAATTCAGGGAACCGCAGACACAATGCATAGAAAATTTCTATGCAGAATCTGCTTCTGCTGTAAAAGCCACTTACAAAGAAATGGATCAATATTTCACCAGGGATATAACAGTTTGTTATGATGGAACATGGCACAAGCGTGGGCACACATCCCATATTGGAATCGGGGCAATTATCGAATACCATACGGGCCTTATCTTGGACGCCGTTCTGTCTAATCAGTGCCTTGGTTGCCAAGTAGGGCCAAAGCCTGGAGACGCAGACTATGCATGCTGGCTGGAGAATCATGTGTGCCAGAAAAACACCGACTAAATCAGGGAGAATGGAGGTTGAGGCAGCTATCATCCTCTTTTCACGCTCACTGTCGAAGCACAACCTCCGTTACACAACGCTCGTGTCTGATGGAGATAGTGCCACCTTCTCTGCCCTTGTACAAGAAAATGTTTATGGACTGGTCCCCATTTCAAAAGAGGAATGCCTGAACCACGTTCAGAAGAGGATGGGGACTGCACTTCGCAACCTTGTGCAGAAAAGTGACAAGGCTTTGGGAGGGAAGGGCAGGCTGACAAAGGGCCTCATCGACAAGTTGACAGATTATTATGGCTGGGCCCTACGGAACAATTCCGATGATGTGGCTGCAATGCGGCGGGCAGTGATGGCATCGTACCACCATGTGACGTCGACGGATGAGGAGCCGCACCACGACTTGTGCCCAGAGGGTGCAGATTCCTGGTGTCGTCACAATGCCAGCAAGATTACCGGTGTTCCACCTCCGAAGCATTCGTACAAGCTGCCACGCTATGTTGCAGATGCACTTCTACCCATTTATGAGAGGCTCTCACAGGCTTCTCTTCTGCAACGCTGCCTGGGAGCAAAGACGCAGAATGCATCAGTCCTTTCACTCTGTGCTGTGGTCCCTCATGCCCAAAGAGCAGCATGCGTCACTGATTGCTGTGGAGACAGCACTGCATGATGCAGTGCTAAGATACAATGCTGGCTGCTACAGGGCCACCCAAGAGCTAGCTTCATCAGTGGGGCTAACACCTGGCCACCTGGCCATTCAACGGGCAGCCGAGAAAGATTCTCTGCGCTTGAAAAAGGCTAAGAAGCGATCCCTAGAGAAGATGAAAAGGCGGCAAAGAAAGAGAGTGCCAAAGGACACCTCCAGTTACGCTGCAGGTTCATTTTAGAACTGCCTATGTGCTCAAGACTTTCAAACGTCGTTTTCTCAAAATGACTTTTTTGGCTAGTGAGGCTGCTTATTCCAGCCATATCTCTGGAACCACTCATTGGATTTCCATGTCTTTTTTTATTATGTACATGAATAAATTTCTGAGGGGGTGACAAGCCCATTTTTTCAATATATTGTGTGTGTTATTTATTATATTTAATCAAAATTTGATTGATAATATCCTAATCACGAACACAAAGTTTGATGGTCTGCTAAAACTTTTCAGCAAGGAAATTAAAAAAAAGGGCTCTGTTACCCCCTGGAGTATCAATCTGGGAATCATCATAGTTAATTTCACAGTTCCAGCACCTTTTGAAAGTTATCCAGGCCTGGAATAAGAGAACCATGTGCACTACCCTGATATTCTCCTGTAACTTGAAAACCAGTGAACATAACTTGATGAAATTTTGTAGTTCCTCTAATGCTTTTGCTATAAGTCTATCCTGAAAATTTCATTAAGATATCTCAATAAACAAAAAGTTGGTATCCGATGGTAGCCTCCCCCCTTAAAAGTCCCAAAGCAAGGCAACGTAGCAATGCTATTGAGTGTTAGTTGAGGCATCCTAGCCTCGCTACTTCCAGTGAAGGGAGGGTACGGGATGGTTTATGGTCAACCAAAATGTGCACCTAGGTAAAACAAGATGTGCTCCACTGCGAGTCACAGGTGGGCAGCATATCGCATATTTCGCGCAACGTCAGCGCATCATGATTTACTCATTCTTTCTGGGAGTTTAAAAAAATTAATGAAGGACACTTTGGCGGAATTTAGAATTCACAATGTATGCGAACCTCCGATCGCTGGTTATTTCAGCAATTTGCACACTTGCACGGCTGGTTGCCCGCAACGCCAACTTTGAAAATCAAGTGTGAAAGCACTTGGATCATGCTTTCCAGCCCAAAACTCATTGCGAATTTCATCAACTAATCATTATTAATTGATGTATTTTACCAGAAAGAAAGAGCAAATGCTCCCACCATGTCTTGCCGACTCTGCGGGGAGCAGGCAACATCCTGCCCACGTGTCACTACTGTGTTCATTGAAGCACGTCTTGTTTTCAGCCCGGGCGCTTTTAAGTCGATTACGACAGCGTATTTTTTTCCTCTGGTGGCAGCAGCGGGACTCATTGTTCCCCTGTGTTTGCAGCAAAATTAACAACAGGTGCTCCTGGAAAGCATAACCATTGGAGCCGCAAACTATACTCCGTTTCACACATCAGGTGCAACGCTGTGAAGGCTAGGCAAGTAGTCCGTAAAGAAAACACGAGGTGTTGCTCTGTGCGGTTTCGTAGCCGAGTGGTCTGACGCGTCGCTCCGGAGAGTTCACCGTAGTTTTGAAGTGCATGGGTTCGAATCCACGTGGTGCCATTTTTTTTTTTTTTTCAGTAACTTCAACTTACTTGCACGCGGTAGTGAACTGCACGTATCTATTCATTTGTAGCATACCGTGTTCCCTTGCGAGGGCCGGAACCTGCTGAGCTGGCACCGAGGTTTGACCAGCATGGCGATTTTGTCGCGATTACACCGCATTGTCGGTTTACCTCGTTGATGTGAGCGAGTACTGCGTGTAAGATGACGTTAATTCATTGATTAGGTAGCACAGCAGCTCCAACGAAGCTGGGTTAATGAGGCTGGGTTAACGGTCGCGCGGAGAGCGAAAACCCTGATACGAAAGCGACAAACATAAATTACCAACTCGCATATTTGGATTGTTTATCCGACAACACAGGCGTTTGTTTTTTAACCTGATGACAAATATGTATGCTTAGAAGTTTCCCGAGAAGCATTTATTGATTCTCGTACACCCCAAGGACGCACTACTTTTTGGTCGCGGCAGTACACAGCGCAAACAAGAGCGCTAGCTTTGACAGCGTTGCACATGATGTATGAAAGGGAGTATAGCCGGCACATAAATGACCCCGATTACCTCGAATAATTCCAAGTTTCTTCCAAGCGATTTTTTTGTATAATCTTATTTCGAAAACACGCTGAATTCGAAGGTTTCTCGCGGCCCCAGTTACTTCAAATCAACGAGGTCTTACTGTATACCACCAAGATGCACAACTTTGATTTTGTAGACAAACAACAACTAGTGGCCTCCAGTGACTTCATTATAGGCATTTTGTTCTGGACACAGCATGCTATTAGCAGCTTTTGTTACTTTTTTTTTTTACAAACGCACCTTGCTCCATCGTCGTAGTAGTCGTCCTGGTATGAGGAGCCATTGTTCGGGGGACCATCCCAACGGCCTCGCTTGGCAGGCGGTCCTCCTCCCATTCCTCCAGGTCCTCCCATAGCACCGGGTCCACCCATTCCAGCTGGACCACCCATTCCACCTGGTCCACCCATTCCACCCGGTCCACCCATTCCACCTGGACCTCCAACTCCCATGCCACCACGAGGAGGCAGCATGCCTCGACCACCTCCCATTGGAGGTGGGGCATCACCTCTCATTGCAGGCCCTCCACGCATTGGTGGCCCACCAGCTGCAGGAGGTCCTCCAGAAAAGCCACCTGAAATAACGAGGAAAGAACAGAGAAGTAACATTTGACCTCTGGCACCGACAAAGCATCGGTATGTAAACCACACATTAACACATTTACTAAATAAACTAAGCTTCAAGATACAGTATAACCTCATTACAACAGACCTCTATTGCCAAGAGGATTTTGGTCTGTTGTAAAAGAAGTACAGATAAACCTGCTTACAGCGAGCCTCCATATAACAATGTTTTTATATTCCCCGCAGTTACTCCACAGAAGCACATGTAAAAGCGACCTCTATGTAACAAAGTAACAGTGGGAGACAACCTTTATATCACAAACTTTCCCCACAGACAATCTAGAAATTTCGCGCCACATTTTAGTATTATGGTACGAGCATGGATGTGCTGTGCCACTGACGAAGCGCGAAGACAGGCCGCATCCGTGTGAGACAGACTGGCCTACACTCCTTGAGCCAGCGTTGCTGCCGTTCTCGCGTCGCGGTCCCATGCGTGAGTGCCCCCCCCCCCCCTCCCGACTCCAAAACACATTTAGTTAGTGTCACATATGTGAGGCCGTGCTGCATATGGAGAGCGCTTTACCGAATAGTTTTCCGCGGTATCTGTGTCGTTCACCCTTCGTTTTCATGGTTGTGCCCACGTGCATAGTTTTACTGCGCGCACATGGTTATTGCACTGATGAGCGTTTATCTCCCACAGTACTTTGCTTGGGTTCACGAAGGGGGGGAGATTAGATCAATGCCTCTTCTATTTTATGGTTAGATGCTTGTGCAGGCAAGCTTATCCTTCCATGGGGAGAATAGAATTGGGGTGGGGAGAATTGCCTGCCTTCAACTTTGAGGGGAAGATCACTTCCCTTACTGGACAGGCACCCTTTGTGAAAAGAGTGCGCTTTTCAAACACAGCGGAGTAGCAACTGGGGCACTAGTTAGTTCGCACTCATATCTATAACCTGTGATTAGGTTTCATTCATTGTTTTTGTTTAAACAGCGTGTTAAGGGTCGAGCAGTAAACAGTTCGCTTTTATCCTATGCATGTTGTTTTGGTGCGTCATTTGTGTGTGAGCCGCACGCTGCACGTTTTGATCTGCTTGCCATTCTCAGCGTTACGTTCCAAGTTGCCATCGCATTCATTGCTTCGCCCCTGCGACGAAACTGACCTTATTTAGGAGAACCGTATCCTCCCCACCGAGAGAATGTCAGATTAGGCGCTGATGGAAACTTCGAGACCGCAGTGACGGTCATGAATCTTCGGAGGCGCCACGCCGCGAGTTCGCCGGCTGGTAGCTTTCGCGATTAAGCCAATCAGCGATAGCTAAAATTGTAATGTAATAAAAAGTAAGGCTGGCAGCCAACTCTTTTGGATGCAATATCGCGGAACTCTTGCAAAACGCTGGTGTGAGCAAATACGGCCATTCCAGGGAGAAGTGCTCTTTTCACACAGTTCGCGTTGAAACCGCACTGATACTGACCAAGAGAGCAAGTGTGCCAGCGATTCCTACCGCCCTTAAAATCCAAGTTCATTATTGCTACTGGAGCATGATCGGGGGCATGTTATCAACTTGGACTTGTTACAGAACATGACAGCGAGGCCAAAAACTCGCCGAAAGTGTCCATATACAGTCTAACACCTCTATTAGAGACACTGATATAAAATACAAATAGGTACAAGAGACCAGCGTACCCACAATAAATATGGGTTGATAAGAAAATGCATACAAGATACCCTGCTTATAAGAGACATCTCTTATAAAAGACAAGAATTGCTGCCCGGAGCATGCCTCTTATAAAGGGATTAGACTGTAATTGCTATCGCAATTATAATGCTTTTAGAGTAAAATAAGGGTTTTGGAATAGCCCTGCCTTCAGTCCCCCTTTTGTTTAACTTGCGCGTTTATTTTACGAATTTTATGTACCGAACCTGCATAAGGAAATCCTTTTTAAAACAATTTTTTTTTTAAATTTATCGATTTCGTTATATCAAGGTTTAACTGTATATAAAATCCAGGTACTGTTACAGAAGACTCATGTGAATGGGTCTGTTATAAAAGATATTTGCAAGTCAAATGCTTTTATTCTTAATGGGGTATGCAAAATAGCTTTTTTGATAATCACATCTTCATTTTCTGTAGCCCTTTTGCTATTCGATTCCAAAATATCTTCATTGAAACCTATGCTTGTGGGAATAGTGAATTTTGTGTTTGAACTGAATAGCGTTTTGGTTAGAATTTCACATTTGAGTATGCACTCGTACCTCGATATAGCGTACTTACTCGCATATTCATCGCACTTTTTTGGTGGAAATTCGATGCAAAGTTGAGAGGTGCGAGAATCGCGTGGGGAAAACTTTCCACGAAAACGTACAGAGCGAAGAAGAAAACGAAGTGGCCGCAAATCGGGATTTTCACACCAGCAACTAACAGCAAGCTTTGAGATGTACTAATTAAAACTTGCCTCAACAATAAAAGCACAGGTTCAACACAAAGCAAGATTTATTTGAGACACAAGTAGAAGCAAATAGTCGAGAATCAGAATGGCATAAGCAAAGCTTGTGGGCGTTGCGGTAGCGTTTGTCGCTATACAGGAGCCTTGAAAAAGTAAGCATAGGACGCCAGTATTGGGCTGATGGCTATTTACCAGAATCGTCCGCAATTTCCGTCTGAAGAAATAAAGTAAATTCCAGTTTTAGGCATACGGCAGGCCCAATGTGTATTGGGCCTGCTGGCGGCCCTATTGCTGTTGTTTAGTGCATTATCTATCACTTTCGACTTGAAAGCAGTATCGCCGCATAACATGACAAGATCACCGACACGACATACAAAGCACGCCGCAACGCGCACTTGCCACTCTGACTTGGCTTGAATTGGATTGAATCTCCGTGCAATAATAGTACGCTTAATGCTTAAGGGGGGGAAGTGGCATTGAAAAAACTTTGTTGACCTACAGCAATGAAATTTGGCATGCATACTCATAAGTGTCTATAATGGGGGAAATATGCAGTTTCATCACGATAGCTTCAGTATTTCTGAAGTTACATAATGCTACACGATCCAATTACAAGGTCTACTCGTGGAAAGCCTAGCGCTGCAACAAAACATGACAGGAAGCTGCGAATGGTGTTGATCTTTACTCAAAAGAAAGCTACAGGGTACGGCACTCTCAGAATTCTTTAATAAGTTCTCTTTTTTTTAGAGATCATCATGGCTGCCGACACACATTGTCAGAAACAGTGGCACGGACAAATCATCGTCTAGAAAAATAACAGGGCCATAAAACAGAAATTGAAGATTGCTGTACCCACAAGCAGTGTTCAGGGATTCAGGAAAAAAAAAAACAGAATCAAAATCGGTCCAGTCATTCCCGTGCTACTCTTTCCACGAGCAATGCACAATGTCCAAAACACACTTGTGAGAAAAAGCCTGTCTAAGTTTTCGACAGGCTTTTCTCAATGAACTTTTTTTGTTTCTCATTGGATATTGATGAAAATTGGCACAGACACTGAGAATGACCTCACAGTGCTACCATAAAAATTTTGAATGAATACAGCAAATACTTTACGAGAAACAAATTATTTCTTCATTGAACCATGTGGAGGGGCTGAGCATAATGTAAAAAAAACAGTATTGAGAAAGCTGCGTTTAAAGTTTCAACTTTTCTTTACGTCTCTAAGACACCTAAAAATTGTGATCTCAGGTTTGTCTTGTGATATTTGAATTCTTTTCATGATTTACAAAGAACAAGTATGGATTTCAAACCAAGTTCTTTGTATGAAGGAGTGGTGTGATAGGCATGACAGAAAAGATTGTAACCATATACTGAAATTATTACACATACTTTTTTGTGCTGAAGTTGTAAATAGCGTAATTAGGTACGGATTACAAATATTCACTGAACTTTTCTTTATTTGGAGAGAGGTTTATTGCATCAGAAAAATGGATCACACCATGACGGCCTATGCCTTCTTTCTAAATAACAAAGTTATGGGCAGAAGACTGGTGGCTTGGGAATTTCTAGCAGTATAATTAATGACACGAAACGGGCATATAAAAATTCGTGCCCCTGATTCATACATGCTCTTTCGCCGCTCTAGCTGTGAAACGCATCATCATACAGCCGGTCGCGGAAACTAATCTACAGCAATTCATTAACCTCGGAACATTCATAGACGTTCATGGCGATATCAAGCACGGCTCCAAGCACGTCTGAATCACATCACAAAAGCTTATTGACAGCACTCCATACGACCGTGGGGTGCGCGGCCGCGTGGACAGTGCAGCTGGCGAGTAATGCACTTGCCGGCGGCGTTCGATGACGATGCGGGAAATGTGTAACTACTGAAGACAAAAAATCGGCATGCACTGCACTTGGCATCGCATTTTCGAATGACGACGCGCGAAACTGCTTGCCGCTGTTCCGAGCGATCCTTGGCAGTGAAAGGGGGGGGGGGGGGTGCGACGAGCTTGACTGTGTTGTCCGCTGCCGATGCGTAAAATGCCCGTACGTGATTCAGAGGAGCTAGCGAGTGATGTGGTACATTCCTTGCGAAGAAGCATGTCGCCAAGAGTGCGCTTGCGCGTCGTTCCTGCCCGCAGTCTCGCTGTCAGCGGAGTTAGGCCTGAGGCCGACTCCGATGACGCGCCACGCTCGTAGACCACCGCGCGCCCGCTCGTAGTAATCTGATCGTGCATCCGGTGCGGCCACTCATAGTAATCGGATCATGCCGCCGCTTCCAGCTTTGTTGCTTGCGAAGAAGCACGTCGCCACGAATGCGCTAGCGCGCCGTTCCTTTCCGCAGTCTCACTGTCGGCGGAATCAGGGCTAGAGACGACTCCGATGACGCGCGGCGCTCGTAGACCGCCCTGCCCGCTCATAGTAACCTGATCGCGCATCCGCTTACTGCTCGTAACTAAAGCGTAATTATATCTTAAGTGATCATCAAGCCGTGAACACATCACGAAGTAGCGATTTTCGAGAGCCATGTCCTCACGATGCACAAGCAGCAGACGACGAT